AGACAGTGCGATTGGCACAGGACAGAGCGGAGTTTAGGGCTGTTGTACATAGGGTCGCTATGAGTCGCAGGCGACTCGACGGCACATAACAACAACAACAGCAACACAGGGTAATCAGGATGGGTGTGTCAGAGGCAATGAGATTGGCACAGGTTAAAGCAGGATAAAGCAGGGTTTAAGGCTGTGAATCACAAACGACTCGACGGCACATAACAACAACAACAACAGTTCTATAAGGTCAGGCATTGTCTTCCAAGTTCCTGCACTTATTTCTACTAATCAATGAATCCGTTATTCATTGTGACTAACCAAAGTGACTTTACTTCTATTTTCTCACTCTTGTATTGTTTATTGGGGAAACAGAATGTGGGGGGATGGTAAAAGATATTACACAGTGGAAGTTTAGGTTCAATCCTGCAACACAAATTCAAGAAGCTTCTCCAGTTAGCAGCCTCCTTCCAGCAAGTTAAACCTCTGGCTCTGGTTCTGTCTTTAAGGGCTCTGGTCCTCTCTCCCTGGCTCTGTCATATGTCTTGCCACAATCTCTCTATAGTCTTTTTAGATCCCTCACTCTTGTTGGCCTTGTAGCTATTGTTGTTATCACCTGCCAGTTAGATGTCTGCAGTCAATGCAGCTGGATACCATAACCTCAAAGGAACTAAGGGTGTAAGGGTGACAGTTAAAACCTCAAAAATTCATTTTGCTTACATATTTCCACAAGATTGTGTGGTCACATCTAAGGTAAGGAGCAGAAAAGTAAAAAAAATAAAAATAATAATTCAACAGCACAGCTACCATAAAAAAATTTTTGGTTCTGAATCCTGAATTTTGTACCCTATCTCAATATCATATTTATATACCAACATTGACTTAAATAAATAGTTAATCACTGGTACTTTTATTTTGTTTTCTATAACACAGTAATAGTTCTCCAACCAATACTTATCTCTCACAGTGAACTAAAAAAAAAAGTATGAAGAATAACAAAATTAACTTCTTAACTTTTTCTCCCCTAGAACCCTTAAGCAGTATCAACACTACCACTAAAGAAATAGGAAAAGGTAAGGAGAATAATGTATAGATTGAATAGTTAGTTACATATGGTGATTACAAGGGATGGGGTCGGGTTTCTACCCAACATAATCAGAAAGTGTATATCAAGATATTAGCAATGAATATTTTGAGACTGTTGTTATTACTTCAGCAATTAGTCTCAAGTTTCAGCTTTGTTATTCTTTCTGTCTCCACCTCCAAATTAAAAAAAAATCCTAGCCAACAGAATACACCACAGCACATAAAAAAATAATTTATCATGACTGTGGGATTCACAACAGTTGTAAAAGAAGGGTTCAAAATAAGACAAACAATGAACGTAGTTCACCACATTAACAAAACAAATAACAAGAACCACATGATGCCAGCAATTGCTACAGACAGGGGATTTCACAAGGTCTGACACTCTTGCCTTGTTAAGATACTGAGTAAAATTGGAATAGAAGGAAATTTCCTCAACATAGTGAAAAGTATATATGCAAAAGCAAGAGCCAATATCATTCTCCATGAAGAAAATGAAAAGCATTTTCCTAGTGAAAAGGGACCAGAAAAGGAAGCTCATTGTCATCTTTTCTACTCAAGATTGTATTGGAAGTACTTCCTAGGGTAATATAACAATAGAAGGAAATAAAAGGCATCTAGATGAGCAAAGAGAAGGTGAAACTGTTGCTATGTGCAGATAATATGATAGTGTACACATAAAACCACAAAGATTTAATCAAAAAACTGTTAGAGCTAGTGGACCAATTTAATATGGTAGTAGGATAAAAGATCAACATCCAAAAGTCAGTAGGATTTCTCTAAAATAATAAAGAGAACTCAGAGAAAGAAACCAAGAAAGCAATGCCATTTACAATATCCAACCAAAAATTGAGATACTTAGGAATGAACCTAACTATAGACATACAAAGAAAACTACAGAATATTTTAGCAAGAAAATAAAAGCTTATATAAATGGGGAACTGTGCAATATAGTGAAAATAACAATCCTATCAAAAGCTGTTCAGTGCAATCCCAATCCAGATATATATATCATTAATTTTTCAAGAAGATTAAAAGGGAAATTTTCTAGTTTATTTGGAGAGGAAAGAGATACTAAATAAGCAAAGCACTTCTGAAAGACAAAATGAAGTGGGAGGCATAACACTCCCTGACCTCAAAACCTATTACACAGAGGTAGTAACCAATATAGCACGGTACGTATACAATGACAGGCACATAGACTAATGGAACAGAATTGAGAACCCAGAAATGAACTTCTCTATCTATAGTCAACTGATATTCAACAAGGAAATAAAATCTATCAAATTTGGAAATGACCACCCCGAAACAAATGAGGCTGGCAAAACTGAACTACTATCTGTAGAAAGCTAAAACAGGATACCCATCTCACATCATACACAAAAATCAAGTCAAGGTGAATCAGAAACCTGAGATTAAAGCCCAAAGCCATAAAGTTCATCAGAGACAACTGGGACCAAGCTTAGAAGGCCTATTCTTTAGGAGGGGTGCAGGGAGAGGCTAACAAATGCAGCCAAAATTGCACAATATGGAGAGGATAAAATTGATGAATGGAACTTTCTAAAGATTAAATCCCTGTGCTCATCAAAACATTTTCCAACAGGGTGAAAAGAAAACCTATTGATGAGAAAAAGCATTTGGCAATACCATCTCAGACAAGTGTCTCATAACAAAAGTATACATGATACTTCTGGGCCTCCAGAAGGAAAAGATTGATAACCCAATTAAAAAATGAGCAAGGAACATGGGAAAACTTTTCACAGAGGAAGACATTCAAGATGGCATCTGGCACATGAATATGCTGAAAATCTTTGGCAATAAAAGAGATGCAAGTCAAAACCGCAATCAATGATAACCCATCTCACCCAAATAGCAGTGGCAAAGTTTAACAGAGCAGCAAGAAATAAATGTTGGAGAGGATGTGGAGATGAGGGAATTCTCATACACTATTGGTGAGATTCTGAAATGGTACACCACTCTAGAAGGAAGTTTGGAATTTCCTCAAAAAGTTGAACATATAAATGCCATATGACCCAACCATTCCTCTCCTAGGAATATAACAAAATACAAAAATAACAAATAACAAAATACAACAACAAATCAAACCAAACTCGAACTGAGACACAAATGCAGAATTTAACAGCAATGTTCACAGTAACATTATTCACCATTGCGAGAACATGGAATAGACCAAACATCCAACCACAACAGAATGGGCTGAGAAATTGTGGTACATTCACACAATGGAATACTATGCACCATTCAGGAGCAACAGTTTTGAAAAACACTATCTAATTTGTGAGAGACTGGAAAGCATTATGCTGAGTGAACTAACTCAGTCTCATAAGAACTGCATAATATCATTATTGTAAAAATAGGAGGGTAACTAGTAAAACAAGTATGGAATCCAATGAGACAGGGTGGGAGCAGAAAGGTGAGGATGAGTAGAGGTGATATTACAGGGTTGCACAGTCTAGAGGATGGATAGAAGAGGTCAACAAAGCAGGAAAGATCTAGCAGAGAACTGAAAAAACAAGGTGATGATGGGCATAGTCAAGTGGTGATTAATTTTATAAACATAATGCATGGGCATGATTGTATGAAACACAACGTGAATGAAAAGTAATGTAAACTAACGTATACAGATATGTAACACAAACCAATATAAAATTAATTGTTTTAAAAATGTAAGAAAAAGAAAATTCTAGGTCTTGTTAGGCTGGACATTAAATCATTATAGCATACACATTGACTCGCTACAAAGGGCAGTGTAAAACACAAAATAACAATATGAGATATAAACCAGCTATATGTATTTTTATCCTTTTCCACTTTGCTTCAAAAGAATAGCAAATAACCCAAACTTTTGGAAGCAGCAATTTCTACTCTTTAACACAGTAGAGAATCTTTTCCTACACAGAGTAAGTTCAAATAATTCTTCACTCCTCACTCCATTGTCCTGGACTAGCTGAGATTCAGAAAATTCTAAGAACTGGAAGGGCTTTAAAGATATGGAAAGAATATTCACAAAGGAAGGTATGCAGATGGTCAACAGATGCATGAGGAAATGCTCAAAATCACTGGCAATAAGAAAAAATGCAAATCAAAACCAAAATGAGACACTATCTAGCTCCAGTAGCAGTAGCAAAGTTTAGCAGGAGAGCAAGTAAAAATTGGAGAGGAAGTGGAGAGATAAGAACTTTTTTCTTTTAAGTTTTTGTTTATTTTATTTTATTTTGTTTTGTTTTATTTTATACTGGTTTATTTACAAAGCTCAAAAATATTATTTTCCACATTGAATCCTTCCCATTTCCTAAACACACACCACATCATATTGTGCAACTCTATGATTAACCATGCCCCCACCCCACCCATCCTCAACACTCTGCTTCCCTCCTTCCCTCCTTTGGATCCTCATACTCATTCTACAAAAATGGTTTTTATACAGTATTTGTCCTTATGGGACTGAGTTAGTTCACTCAGCATAATGCTCTCCAGACCCTCTCAAGTTAGGTAATAATTTACAAAATCATTACTCCTGATTGCTGCGTAGTATTCCAATGTACAAATGTACCAAATTTCTCAATTCATTCGATTGTGGTTGGACATCTGGGCTATTTCCATGTACTTGCAATGGTGAATAATAGCACTGTTATGAACAGTGGTGTACAGGTCTCCGTATGTGCCTCAGGTCTCATTTTCTCAGGGCATATTCCAAATAGTGAAAGAGCTGGGTTATATGGAATTTCTATGTACAATCCCACCAACAATGTATAAGAGTTCCTATCTCACCATATCCTCTCCAATATTTGTTATTTTCTGTCCTGTTAAACTTTGCCACTGTGACTGTGGTAAGATGGTGCCTCATTGTGGTTTTGATACTGGTACAATGATAGCCACATAGACTGAGAACCCAGGAAAAAACCCGGCTATCTATGTTCAACTGATATTCAATAAGGAAATAAAACCTACCAAATGGAGAAATGACAACCTCTTCAACAAATGGTGCTGATGAAACTTGACTGCTAACTCAGAAAGCTGAAACAGGATAGACATATCATGCTATATACAAAAGTCAACTAAAAGTTGATCAGAGACCTTGGAGTAAAGCCCCAAACCATAAAGTCCTTAATAAACTGGGATGAAGCATAGAAAACCTAGTTTACAGCATAAGGAGATTGCCAAATACAGCCAAAAATGCACAATATGAAGAGGATAAAATTGATGAATGGGGCTTTCTAAAGATTCAATCCTTGTATGCATCAAAAACTTTTTCCAACAAGGTGAAAAGAAAACTGACTAGGAATAAACATTTGGCAATACCATCTCAGACAAGAGTCGCATCACAAAAGTTTACAAGAATACTCTTGGGCCTCCACAACAAAAAGACTGATAACCCAATTACAAAACAGGCAAAAGACATTTAAACTTTTGATGATCCAAATTAGCCTAGCTCAAAACTGATTTCCATCAATCAAGGACCTAAGGTATGACCTGAGGAATGAATGAAATGTGTTGTAGTTTCCTAGTGCTTGCATCACAGAAATATTACAACTAAGGAACTTTAAAGTGGAAGTTTATTATGTCACAATTTAGTGACTAGAACTCTAAATTTGAAAGTGTTGTGAGGACTACACTCTCTGTAGAAAAATATCATTCTTTGTCTCTTTCAGATTCTTGTTTATCAGGGTATTTTCTTTTTTTTTTTTT